AATATAATTATGTCGACAGTAACATTCAAAGTTAAAAATCAAAACAATCAATTGCATCAATATAGAGCTCTGCTAGATTCAGGAGCTCAATCCCATTCGATTACCGAAGAGTTTGTTAAACGGTTAGAGTTACCATTAACCAATACCAAATTAGCTATTATTGGTATTAACCAAGTGGTTTCTACTTTAAAAAAGAAAACTTCAATTACAATTTTCTCAAACAAAAATAATTTCCAATTTCAATTATCTTGTTATGTAACACCATTCGTTTCAACTATTCCGTTACAACAATTTGATATCTCTACAATTTCCATTCCTCAAAATATAGAATTGTCTGATCCTACTTTCAATACTCCTCAAAAAGTTGACATGATCATAGGTGCTAGTTTGTTCTGGGAACTGCTATTAGAGGGCAATATTAAATTAGGAAAATATGCACCAGTGCTTCAAAATACCAAACTTGGATGGGAAATATCTGGTACTGTAATGAATGCGATATCAACGTCGTTATGCAATTTTTCACGCTTTATACCAGAAGACAATCAGTTACGTAAATTCTGGGAACTCAATGAGATAAATGAACCTATGATGTTGTCAAAAGATGACGTCCAGTGTAAGGAACTATTTACTAAACACACGAAATGAAAACGGTCAGTTTACAGTGAAGTTGCCCTTAAAATATTCTACCGATTTATTGGGAGATTAAAAATAAATAGCAAAAAAACGATTCATATCAAACTCATCCTCAATTTTATTAATTATACAAAAATTTTATACATGAATATATCGATTTAGGTCACATGACCAGGGTGGAACGTGACATGGTTACTGAACCAACTTACTTCTTTCCCCACCATTGCATATACAAGCCTAGTAGTCTGACTACCGACAGCTTCACAGACAATTCTTAATGATTTCTATGTTGATGACCTAGTAACGGATTCTAATGACCTTTCAGAATTACAAGCCCGATGTAAAGATATTTCAGACATATTAAAATCAGCACAATTCATACTTATAAAACGGGTTGCAAATAATCAGAGTGTTCTCATGAATATTCCATGTTGCGATATTCCGAATGAAATTTTAAATTTCGGTGAACACGAAAGCTCTACAACCTTAGGTGTACAATTTAATAGTAACAAAGACATTCTAAATTTTAAAATATCTTCAATTCCACACGATAATTCGATTACTAAGAGAAATATATTATCTATCATTTCACAGATCTGGGATCGTCTTGGTCTTCTCTCTCCAGTAATTGTACTTTCTAAACTCATAATTCAGAAATTATGGACCCTCAAATTAAATTGGGACGAAAAGGTTCCACGTGACATTTATATTAAATGGACACAATTTTACAATCAATTGTCCCAACTCAATCAATTAGAGATTCCTAGGCATGTTCTTGGATCCAATCATTCCATACTAGACATTCATTGTTGCTGCGATGCATCTCAATATGCTTATGCAAGCTGTATATATTTCCGAAGCATAGATGCAAGTGGCAAATTATCAAAGTGCCTATAGGCAGGCTCTCCAACTACAAAACGATTCGTCAAACGTATCAACAATTTTGGAATCTTTACGTGAAAGAATACGTTTCGCAACTGCAACAGCAATACAAATGGACAGAATGTTCGTCCCATTTGAAGATTGGAACCTTAGTGTAAATTCGCAGTTATCAACAACCAACATGTAGATGGCCTTTGGGACGTATTATTAGCTTACATTCGGGTAAAGATAAACTTTCAAGAGTGGCAGAGGTAAACACAAACAATAAGACTGTTATTCGTTCTGTTCGTCATTTGTGTCCGTTACCAATGCAGTAAGAGAGTGTGAGTGATAGTATTGATACATAAGATTTTATTTATATTTATTATCTATTTTGAAGGTACCCCTCAACGGGGGAGTTTGTTTAAAATTATTTCAAAATATTTTATTCTATGTATAATTCCTAGCCCTAAGATTTAATTGTCTAGACGGCAAACCTGTCAGCCCTAGGCAAAGTCGTTACAAATTTATAAGAGTAGTATTTTCCATATGTTGCCATAAGAGCACCCAATAAAGAACGTGTGAAGAGATTTCGTTTTACAAGTTATTTCTTCACCCTATCGATCAACTATTTACCACTACTATTAACCAGCGACCAGTCAAATTAAATCAACAATTTAAACAATGGTGAACATGGGCACCATCATACAAAGACCACATTTGTTCACATATATGAAGTGGAACGTTTTCCAATAATATGAGCAATTGATATGTAACCTTTTTCATGCTGATAGAAAGGTCACCACTAAATATACTGCGAACAGCA